TCATTGTTCCTTATCTTAAATCTGGTTTGGATGGTGAGTTATCTTTGAAACATCATAATTTTTATCAACAAAATTTCAACTTCATTTTTGTCTTTGCTGGCATGGTCTGGTCTTGACTTAGTATTAACCTGTTTTGTCACATGTATTTTCTCAATTTTTACTGTTGAGTTTTGTTGAATTTTTGTGTTGCACCAACTTTTTTTTTGTTATTTTTAGGTTTTATTCTTACACGAGCAACCTGTTGTGCTGTAGTCGAAAGAATCAGTTTTATCTATTATAATGTTTGATGTTGGAAGATTGATGAGTGATTGCAATTTGTTCATGTAAAATTTTGAACTTCTGTTTTTTTATTTTTTTTTAATTATTTGTTTTATTATTATAGATCACTACGATGTTAAAATGCCATGCCATCTGATTCTATCGAAACTCGCTGATAAGTGTCCATCAGCTGTATTAGCAGGTTGGTTGCTTCTTCAATCAAGTTATTTAAAACTCTTGCCCTGTAAGATTCTTTCCTGATGTATAGATTGGTATTTTTCTAGTTTTGGACTCTCTGGTTGATCCTCTTCAAAAGACTATTAACTTCAAGCCAAAGCAAGATGCTGTTAAACAAGAAGTAGATCGTAATGAGGACATGATTCGCAGTGCTCTTCGGGCTATAGCATCTCTAAATCGCATAAGGTTTGTTTTTCAGATGCATTTAGTCTCTTCTTTTTCCCCTGTTGAGAATACAGTTAGCAATTTGGATGGTTTTTGGAACAAAAGCCATTCTGGAATGGCACAAAAAAGGCTGTAGTTTTACCAACATGCACGTTTATTCTACCGGGTAAGTTGGTATGGCATACTTAAAGAGGCAATATGTTTTTTCAAGGAGACACTGAATATACTAATTTAATGAAATCACTATAGAACGATCCTGAAAAGAAATCAAGTTTTGGTTTATAAGGTAGTTGCCTTCCTGAAGTATTAATATTTAATAAATTTCGAAACTCCAAATACTTTGAGTTTAGATAGCGATCTTGTGAGATTAGTTCAAGTGTTCTTTGATAAAGAAAAAATGCTTACATTAAGAAAGTGTCTTTAAAGAAAAATGAAGTCGAGAAGAATTGGAATTTTGAATGTACAATCATCAAGGAATCACCCAGCAAAAGTGTAGTAACAAATTCGAGAAAACAAGACAAAATGCGGAGAGCACCCTCTGAAGATTTGTATTTTGAAGTGTGAATTTTTCATTCCAAAAGTAAAGGGAGATACAAGCAAAAGGCAGGGAGATAAGGTGTCTCTTTTCAATTAATTAAAAAGGTTTAGACCACCAGGCATAAGGAAGAGGACATCCTCCCATTTAAGACTTCTAGGCTTCTCTTCATCACAAAAAACCTTTCTGTTTTGCTCGAACCATACAACCCAACCCAAAGGATAGCTTATTGAGATTGAATACTTCCCAGCTGTAGACGTGCCTTGTTTCCTATTAAAGGAAATTAGAATTGAGGTTTCTGTATAAGATGGGGGTTCATATAGTCGATCGATGTTGGTTTTGGACACAACCTGGTATAGAAAGTCAACCATTCAATTTTGGTTGGTCAGAAATTGGCAGTTTTTGAAAGCTCAAATAAATCGACTGACCCATCTGGTCTGTTGGCTAAGCACCTGATATTGTGAGACAGGGACTTGAGAGGTTGGAGAGAGCTGGAGAGGTGGGAACTTGTTAGGTAGGGGAGAGCGGAGAGGATGGTAAAAAAGGAGGCGACAAAGAGGCATAGCATAGGTTGAAAGAAACAGATAGGGAGGACGTGAGGCATAGGGGGCTGATAATTATATTAAAAAAAACTGTTTACTCATTATCTGTTTTTCTCATTTTTATTTTCTAATAAACATACATATATGTCTGTGGGTTGGAAAATTATTTTCTAATGTATGTGAGTTTAGCGCAAGAGATGGTTGTTCCTGTACTTGGATTATTAATTTTGTGATTTGATCTTCCAATCACTATAAGTTTGCTTAACTTGAATGGATAGCATGCATGCTAACTTTTAACTTTCACTACTTGATTTCTGTGAGTAACCCGGGTTTTTATTATTCGTGCAGTGGAGGAGATTGCAGCCTTAAGTTCAAGAATCTTATGAATGAAATTTCTAAATCTCCGGCACTCTCAGAGAAATACTACTCCATCCGAAATGAGTGAAAAAAGACGGAATGATTAGGCATCATTGTGTAACATTAAAGTTTCCCAAGTAATGAGGAAGATTATGTTGTCATTTTGGTCTCTGCAGCATAAGCCTTCTTCGGTAAGATGAGTTAAGGTACACCATGGATTTAAAAATGATAGTGGAAGAGATTGAGTCGCATGGATGTATGCGGTAGTTTTGGAGGGGTCTGGAAAGTAAACACCAAGCATAGAAAGGGAGGGAAACGAGCATGATATTGTTTAAGCCATATTACTTTTCTTTTTATGCTGTATCCTGCCATTCTTTGAAATCATATGTCGACAGACTTTGCAATATAAAGAAAAAGGAACTTTACTTCCTTTAAGGGTGGGGAGCAAAATGAAAGAACACCTCTTCTTGTTTGGTTGGATCCGATTGGTTCGGATACACTATGGTTTTGTGATATAGGTAGATAAAAAGTTGGTCTACTGTATTAGATGACAGACATGATGATGGATGTTGTTGATGCTTTGTGATTGATAGTTTTTTTTTCCTTTTTTCTTTTTTCTTTTTTATTGAACTCTGGTGTGATTACTGAATTATAATCGGAAAAAGAGGTGAATTTTCAGGTTACTTCTGTTTAGTTATACCCCCTCGTGCTCTTTGGTCTGGGTTCAAACACACATCACTAGAATTTATTTTCAAGAAAACTATGCACAGATCAGCTCATTTGCATTAACATCAATGGGTTATTTTTTTCTTGGTACTTTTTTTTTTTTTTTTTTTT